GAGATGAAGACCTGATTTTTTTTTTTCGTTATTATCATCATATAAAACACTTGAAAATATTTTAGGATAATCTAAAAGAATAACCTGAAGAGCTCTAAGTGATTTGATATGGAATTATATATATATATATATATATATATATATATATATATAATGTAATGAAGAGTTTGGCAATCCGTGTGGATAATTTCAAAGACAATGTAATCCAAAGAGCTCAATATAGTTGAAAATCAAATAAATAACTCATTTAAAGTTAAATTTAGATATGAAACAGAGTGAAAAGTTTAAAAAAATTTTTATTAAATGTTTAACTTTAATTTTGCTTTTCTTCACAATTGCAATTGATATTATCTAATTAAACCATGATTAAAACTTAAATGAAACACAGTATGTTGCTCATATGGTTTTTCTTTTTCTAGCATGCATACTGTGACGTATTCGGCATCTTACATAGTTCAGGTTCCCTAATGTCTTTTAAGAATGACTTTATATGAAAGGATCATAAAGAATAGGGATTTTAAAAGAGAATAAATATTGCGCCCAAAATAAATGTAAACAAATTACAGAGATTGGTTGCATATACGAGGAAAGATTATGCCAAATTAAGGTGTTGAATGAAGATAAAATAATTTGATTATTTCTAAATTCTCATAACTTTTACATACATAGGATGCTGAAGGAAAAAGGCTTAAAGCCAAAAACCCTCTGCAGGAGCTAGCCTAAAGTCCACCCGAAGGGTGGCTTCTAGGTTAGTATGAAAATAAAAACAAGTAAATATGTCCTGAAATACATGGTCAAGTTTCTTAAGCTGGTGTTAAACATGTACAGAAAAACGAGAGGTAGAGAGAGAATTTTTTAAGATACATTCATTTATTTCATTGGATATTAAGCTAAGAAAAAGGAATTTAAATACAAAAACTAGTTAATCCATTTAATCACTTCTTTTAGATTAGGATTACTGAATTGTTTTAAGTCATTTAGCAAAATTTAGATATCGAAATAACTTACGTCTTATAGATGTATTGTAATATGTAAATTTATAAGTCTCGTGGCTCAGAATGAGAAATCCGAGAGCTGAGTTCAAATTCCAGTTGAGTTTCTTACATTCACTTACACACAAATACCCTGGGAAAGATATAAATCCATCTCTTCTCCCCCAACTATGGGTTTAATAGCAGGATAGACTTGGTTGGCAACTCGTCTACTGCAGAAAGAAATGGCAACCTACTGCAGGAAAATCTTCTGCCTAGTCAGTCACGAGTCAAAAGAGACATGATCACCCAAACATGTATCACATACGGCACATAACTGAGTTCACATTTCTTATAAAGAGTAACAGGATCAAATCCAGCAGCCATCATTTGACCTAAAATAGTGATTGAAAGTTTGCAACAGACCTTTTTATTTATGATATATAGAGAATTAACATATACGATTAATACTTTTTCAAAAAATGCTCCAGCTATTAACTGTAGTACTTTGTGTGATTTAACTATGTCATATTTTTAACCCTTTGCCTGTTCGTGTGTACTATCGAAACATTTATGCTTGTTTTCAGATTTATAACTATTGCAAGACAACTCAGCTTATTTGGCAAATAGAATGTGCTGATATATAATGTTTCACATAATAAAAACATACAAATCCTAAGTTATTTACACTACACGCTGTGCATCACATGTGATGCACAGATTCCTATTATGTGAAACACCATATATCAGCACTTTCTTTTTGCCAAATAAACTGAGTTGCCTTGCAGTAGTTATAAATCTGAGAATAGGAAATAGTGGACAGAAAAACATCTAATTTTATTTTTATTACTAATCAATCTATATTTTTTTTTCAGAATCTAACAGAGAAATAAAAGAACCCCTATAATGAATTCTAAACATTTTTATGATAAAAGAACTCGAGAAAAAATTGATGATAATGATCTAAGTCCTGATGATATCTCATCCCCTGATGAAAGTGAAGATGAATTTGGGGATTAAAACTTTTCTCTTTCCAAGCAAAAGGTTATAATTATTTCAATAAAATGGAAAAATAGATGCCTTTCACTTGAGACTTTACATTATCAATCAAGTGTCTTGTTGTCGTATATGATGCACAAAATATTAGTTAGGTCTTTTCTTAGATGTCCTGCTCAATAGATGACTCTTTTCTTAAGGGTCCTTAGTTTTATCACTCTTTTAAAATCATGACTCGTGTACACCACTTATGATGCATAGATGTGGAAATCACATCCTGTGCATCACATATGATGAGCAGGACAGGCAAAGAGTTGACATTCAAGTATGCATCTTTTTCTGCTGTGCATGAGTAATTTTTTTTTATTTTAACAAATGAAATAAAATTAAATACAATTGCAAAAGTAACAAATAATATTTCAAAGAAATATTTTATATGCATTCATTTAATTATAAACCCTTGATCTAGATCAACGGTCTCAAACCCAAGGACACAAAAAGGCCATTATGTGCTGAAGGAGACATACAGTAGGCCAAAAGCAGGTCTGTCACCAGAGTATTACTGGGGGGGGGCATCAATTCCAGAGGGTTTTTTTTTAACAAAATCCAAAGAAAAATCTGCAATATTATCTGTCCTGACCAAGCATCTCAGGTTTAATCACTTTCCCACCACTGTAACATAGCTTTCCTGTGCCTTTTCTCTAAATATTTTTATGGTAATTGTTCTGATGAGTTTTCCTCTTTGGTAAATCAACTTCATGAATTTAAGCATAGTACTAGATTGGCAGTTAGGTCTTATCCTTTTACTGTTAAAACTGCTAGATGTAACTGTTAAGCTCTATTTTAATAGTTTCTTCTCTTGAACATCTTGCCTGTGGAACTCCCTTCCAGCTTCTTGCTTTCCTGTCAACTACAATCTTCAAAAATCAACATCAATCCTTATCTTTTGTCTTTTTGAATCCTGTTCTTTTATTGTCCTTTCTCATCAATAACATTTTCTCAGTTTCTTTCACTCTCAGCAATCTCTTGAATCTTAGTGGTTTTATTGCCTTGTTTGAAGTGTAATGATTAAAGAAAATAAATATCAATTAAAATATTGGTTTCCCATGGGTTGCGTGTTCTAGATAATGCCAATATAAATATGAAAGTGTAGATTCACCAAAAAAATACCAATGATAACAACTAACAAAGTTGATTTAAATGCTAAACTAGGCTTACAACCATATCACATTGAAACACTGGAGTTAAGCAACATAGAGCCTGTTCAGTACCTAGATGGGTGACAGCTTGTGAATACTAGGAGCTGTAAGCTTGGATGTGTAGGTAGTGAAATGAATAAGCTCTGAATTGGAAATCAGAGCTGTGTTCCAATTCCAGTCATGTTCGTTATATTCACTTACATTCAAATATCCTCAGTAAAAGTATGAAGCCACCTCTCCTCCACCCACCCCCATCTATGGGTTAATTAGTAAGACTTGTATCAGTAAATCATTATCATCTCCAAAAAATTATTACAATCTAAAACTATTTTCTGGCTTTAAATAACCTGCAAAAGGTTGATAAGCCATAAAAAACAAATCAATATATAATGCTAAACTAGAATAATAATTCTTATTTCAACTAATCAAAGGACATGAGCAATACAAGGTTCTTAAAACAATAACATACTAGGTTGGCCAGAAAGTCCTGACTCACTTAAGAACCAGAAAGAAAACAACAAATCTTGATCACTGTCTGTTGGAATTTCCAAGGAGCAATGCATTTCAAGCTTGTTCCACACAATCACGCCCTCAACGCTAAACTGTATTGCCAGTAGCTAGACCACATGTACAACAAACTAAAAGAGGAGTATCCTTATTTGGTCAATTGAGGTCGGGCTTTGTTTCAGCAAGACAATGCAAGGCCACACATTGCCAGATTAACTAAGGAGAAGTTCAAACAGATGGATGGTGTTGAGATTCTTCCACAGTCCCAATGCTGTTCCAAGTGACTATGGAGAGATTTGGATGCTGGCTGATCGCTGACAGAAGATTGTCAAGAATGATGAACTTTATTTTGGAGAATAAATGTTGGCGTTGCTCCATAAAATTTTGTTGTTTTCTTTCCGCTTCCTAAGTGAGTCAGGACTTTCTGGCCAACCTAATATTTATCAACAACTAGCAGTAGCCATGAAATTTTTGTAGTTTAACTATTTTAATTTTCTTGTAAATTCTAAATCTTAACTTAAGTTAATGACTGAATAAGCTCCTTGCAAGTTCCATGACTTTAAAATAACCATGAAAATTCTCCTATTGCATATTTGAACTTAAAAACTTTAACAAAATACTACCATCATAAGTATGAATGCAAGTCATTGTTTCAAGAAGTAAGAGGTTACAAATGAAAAAGATTAAAAATTGACAAGTTTTTCTATTTCACTGAAGCAGACTCTAAACCCATCAGAGTGTTATCATCTCCTCTATCTTCATTTCCTTTCTTTCTTCTTATGCTTCCCTTTTCTCACTAAAAACAAACAGCATCTCTGATATGTTTTTTAATTTGTCTTGCTTTGCAATCAAAATGGAATGGTGTATTATTTACTTGAAGTAATGGCAGGACATAACATGTGCTAACTCACTAATGGAGGAACGAGCAGAATTATATGATTATTTATTGATTCAGTTTGACAAATAAAATGTGCACCGAACGCCATTTGTTTTTGGTATTTAAAGACAAGAAGGGAAAGGGACAAAACAATTCACAATGGTCAATAATTAAAAAAAAAAAACAACTACAATTAACTTTTAAAAAATTAAAAACCAATGTTTAAAAAAAGGAATAAAACAAATTATTTCCTTTTTGTTTACCTCCTTTCAATTGCTTAAGAGAAAGAGAGGGTGAAAGTATTCCATTTATGTCCTATCGATTGAACACCTGAAAGAGGCTGTAGAAGTGAACAGCCAGAACGTTGCAATAACTAACAACAAAAAAACAAAAGCAAAATTAAAACAAACAAAAAAATTACAAGTTACATTATTTATGAATAATTTCTTGTGGGTGGGTGACTGAAAATTGAAATATTCTTTTATAAACATAGATTTACTTTTAAAATCAAAATTTTGATCGTTCTAAAACAATAATTCAAAAATGCAATGTTATTACTACTTCAACTTTCGTTTTGAACCAAGATGTAATAATTCGAAGTGTGAGAACGTTGTTAAAATTTCAAACAAAACAATGGTTCAACAAAGAGACAACAATAAATGATAAATTATTTTGAGGGGTAGAATTATTAGTATATAGCGTAAAAAAAATCATTGCTCAGAGCACCTCATATTGTCGATCATTTCAAAGTCCTTTACAACACGGTGAATAATAATAATAATACGGGAAGTCAAACAACACGTTCCGTTATCGTCCGTTTTGGTTTCATTTTTTTCCTGATTCACGAGGAATTAAAGACAAATTTAGAACTTCACTATCGTTTACCGGGCTAACAATTCTTAGGGAGACGACGACTTGAATAGAAGTGTTGACTAAAAATGAAATACCGTAAGCCCAATTGACTAAAATTAAAAATAATGATGCAATCCCATCACAATATTCTAACAAGTACAATTCGGGCCTCATTGAACAATCAGATCACTATATAATTGAATTATATTGTTACTACTTTAACTTTATCTACCGTTAATTGTAATTAAGTTGAATATAATTTAGTGAATGCGAATGCAGAATAATACTGTTTATCTTGTTTAAATTATTACTTTCTTGGGTTTGATGGAATTCATTCTTCACTACCGTAATTATGAGCGCTCTACGTGTGTGTTTATCAATTTCATTTTTAGTTGTTTTATTAGTTATCTTCCTAGAGGACTGTATACTAAATATTATATCTAAAATCTTTGAAAGACTTCACTTCATTGATAAATAACGAGTTATCACAACAACAAAAAAACATGGCTGTTTAGTGTAGAATAGTGCGTGGTGATGATTGTTAATTTTAAAATAAACCGCTAAATTAAATCAAAATTCTTCTTATACTATAATAGTAACTCGATAAGCTAGTTAGACACATTTAAAAAACAGTACTGAACAATAATAACATTACGTAATTAATAATCCACAATAAAAATAATTAAAAAATATCCTTTGTTGTGTGAAACAACATTTATGGTTTGATTTGTTGTAGTGTTTTTTTTTTTACCTTAGTGTCTACATCGCCCATTCCTTCCTTGCGGAACTGATCAAACAGTCCTTGTGATTTTAATTTGTCCACAATCTCTTGTACAAGTTTGGGATCCCCCGGTTTGAGTGCGGACACTGCTGTAGTCATCCTGGAACCACAAAAAGGCTGGGAAATATACACACAAACAAATAAAAAAATCCACGATTACAACCACAATCCGTCATCAGAAGACGGCGGCCATTTTCCCTTATTCTACTTCTAATTAACTTAGTTAGCTTCGTATTTTTCTTTGCAAGTTTTTAAAATCACTAAATATTGAATGTTTATTTTTTTTTCTTAAGTATTTAATTAATTTTTTATACACATTAGTATTCTTTTATCAACAATTACTAGCAAAATTGAATTTCTGCCGAATATTGCTGAAATACTTCTTCCTTCCTGCCTCTGTGTTTTTGTTTATTTTTTGTTACTCAAGCGACTTTGAATTTCCTAAACTTATTTTCTATTGCTATTTTTTTATTATTAGGTAAATTTTAAATATATGGTTTTTCTTTTTAAAAAAACAAAACATTATACCCAAAATTAAGCCCAATCAAAATAAATAGTCTTTATTTATATTTTCTGAAGTCATGAAGATAATTTTCGTTTTTCAACTTGGAATCAATAGGAACGTTGTAGAACAAAAAAGCGCACATACTCGGGATTTAACTATGAAATTAAAATTATTTCAATAAAAAAGAACCTTTTTAAAACAAAAGTTATAATTTTTAAGAAGCGCAATATTAAACGAATAATTTAGATGTTTGAAAAAATTAACATCAGTTTGTAAGAAAAAAAAAGTCGGCGATTTTTAGTGTTTTTTTTTTTTTGTAAGAAAATGTATTTATCATCTGTGCTTTCTTTTTGAATGAACATGACTCTAAATTTAAAGTTTTTAGCTTTTCGCAGATTTACTGTAAACACAAATGCTAAAAGCTAAAGTAAGCTGACTTTAAGACTGGTGAAAATAGCAGATAGCTGGATAATTTCGTTTAAGCTGTAATTTTATTTAAAAGTATGGAAGCCTAAAAGGATCTAAAAATACAGTTACATTTTTTAGCGACTAAAAATTAAATTCGCTCTTTTCACTTCCCTCTAAAGGATTTTAGAATCACGAAACTTTCACATCTCACAGGAAAATATTGTTATTTTTTAATGTCCTTAAAATAAACTGTAGGGCAACAAAAAAAAAGTTCAAATTACTGTGTTAAGTTTGTGTAAAAAAGTAAAAACTGTGTTTGAATATGTAATTTCAATTTGTGAATTTACGAATACGTGTGGGAATTTCGTGAATCTATAGAAAAATTTATAAATAAACTACACCAATATTTAAAAAGAAGGAATCATTAAAAAAATGAACTTTTGACAAAATGATTAAAACTGCTACTTTTAGTTTCGTACAAAATCTATCAGCGCGATAATCGAGCGAAAAGGAATTTTTATGTCAACAAAGAGAAGAAACTAAAGAAAAAAAAAACTTGATTTTTCTGCCTTCTGTACAATTATGCTGTAAGTTATTTCACGTAACAGTAGGTATTTTATGGGTTTTATTTCTATTTATTTTTTAAGCTATGCTTGATTATGCTCGATTTTCTGAGAAGAGCATTAAAATCACAAATTTCATGAGCAGTCCAAAAAAAACGTTCTTTTTGGGACTGCTCACGAAATTTCTGATTTATTCTTAAAGTTAAAAGATGAAGATTTTTTGATTCTAAAAATCACTCGTTTATTTCTTTACTGTTAGGTTTTACTTTTAATTTAGGTTTTTAGATATTTTAAAAAATGCTTTTCTTTTTCTTTATTTCATTAGTCAGTCAACTCAGTATTTCTTTTATTTGTACAATACTTAACGAAAAAAAATCACTTCAGGTTTTAATTTCAGTCTTTCTTTTTAAGCAGTTGAATTATTTTAGCGATAAAAATAAATATTTTCCATTTTATTTTTAGCATTCGAAACGTTTTTCACATTCTAAATTATCTCCCTTTGATTTCTTTACCAAGCCTCATACACTGAGCACATTTGGGTTTTTTTTTATCCATAAAAATAAAATAATGAAATATAATTCAATTTATGTCAACCAACACAAACTTATAAAACGAAAATGAATCTTCGAAGTAAACAGGTTTGCCCTACCTCTTTTGAGGTTTTTGAGTGAAAGTATTGCATCAGGAAATAAAAAAAAATGTCCTTATCCAAAGTGAAAAAAAACTTTTATCCTTAGTAATCATTGATTAGTTAATCCATGTGAAAAAAAAGAGAAATGTCTCAATGTTTATTTGGTTTCCGAAAATCTCTAAACACTCTCCATTCATTTAAATTTCCAAACGTTGGTAGTACTTTGAAAAAGATGCAGTTCTAAATTATCTGTGCTCAGAATATGAGGTTTAAATTAAAAAAGTTTATAGTACACTTTTTTTTACCCATATTTTTCAGAGTTAAGTTTTGTTTTCTTTGCCAAATTGCTTTAATTTTTGCAAAATCTTATTTATTTTTGTATTTATTTTAAAAACATGGTCGCATTACACAAGCCGATTTCATGTATAGTGCGAACCTTGAATTTTTTGCATGAATTTTAACCCCACCAGAAAAAAAATACCTGTGCCTAGTTAGTGCGACCAGTCACGGGTGCATGATTTTTAACCTCTTCAAAAATTTTACCTGCGTATATTGAGACTACCCACCCCTTATTTGTGTGTGTGTGTGTGTGTGTTAAAAAACATGATCATAAAATCTCGGACGCATAAATACTGAATTCACGAGTATAGACTCGTGAATTCAGTATTTCTTAAGGTGAGAGAACTGAGATTTTATTTTATCATACATAGTCCAGAAAGTGTGGCAGGTAGATGTCATTTTTAACAATCATCTGTTTACACAATTTACATTATTCGGACTATTGTCCTCATCTTTGTTGCCATATTTATCACAACGTTTCGGCCCTTGTACGCTCCAGCTTTCTTCAGGTGGTTAAAATGTCGAACTGAACCCTTTAGTGGATAAAGGCAATAGTTAGATCCAGTAACAGGACCCAAAGAGTATGAGTTCAATACCTGTTTAAGGCGGTGGAGAAGTTGGAGAGGGGAATTAACAGGAGATAACTGATAACTGACATCCATTAGACATGGTACGTGGAACTAGAACAGTCTATACCAGCAAGCGAAATAAAGGGTTCAGTTTGATATTCCAACCACCTGAAGAAAACCGGAGCGTACAACTAAGATGAAGACAATAGTCCGAATAATGTAAATAGTGTACATAATACCTCATCTCAGAAATAGAGACAGATGCTCAATTATCTGTTTATTTTAACAAATTAAAATTGATTATTATTAGCATTATTTACTGTCATCCCCCACTTTTTTTTTTTTGCTTCAGTTCTGTGAATTCCAGGCATCCATTTTTATAATTTCTACACAGTATCATATAATTTTGCTTGTTCTTTAATGAGCACATACATTATGCCCTGCCAATACCCCAGATAAATAATGAACTGTTCCACCCGATCGAAACTCTTATTTTTTGACTCAAACTGAAGTGCTCACACCCACAGCACATATCACAAAAACAGACCTTAATTTCGTCCATTTCTGCATACCCACTTTTAGAATACTGTCCAAAGATACCATGGTCTTAAAATATCTTTTCTGTCCAATCAGCAAAATGCCATCATGGTTTTCACAACAGCCATTTCTGAGCCACTGATTTTCTATAGAGATTTCACCCACAAAGGCAGATCCTATCAGGCTGATATTAGTGATGGATACATATGACAGGCAAGCTTAACCAAGCTATCAGCAGTGACAACAAAGTGCTGCCATCAACAGCGATGTCTTCAGCCAGTGATAAAACCAGCAGCAACAGCAGAGACTAACTCTTGACTTACTACACTGCAATAATTCATGAACTATTTCTCGCAAAAGTCTATCTCACATGACTACATATGCATGTTGATCTTCTCCAGATGTCTATCTTGACTGCTACCTTGTTTTATACCACAAACTCTCAGTCTCCCACAACTGATATGATACCCCAGAACAAACAATCAAACTTTGTAGATCATGAGAAATAAAACCTTTCACTTATCTTAGCCATATATTATCTCTTTTTTTTATTTTGTCACTTTCACTTTTCTTGTTAACAGTAAAGCCACCATTACAGGACCATTCTATTTTGACTGTGAGGAAAAACTGAAAAGACATATCAGAGACACTGTTTGACTTCAGAGTGAAAAAGAAAGACATGGAAAATAGGTGTTTAACATCTGCTTAAGTGAAATGGAAAAACTTATCGATTTTAAATCTTTTCATTTGTACCCTATTGCTTTAAATAATGACCTACATTCATACTTGATTGCTATTGCAATATTCTGTAAAAATTGCTATATGTAATATACTGCCTTCAGCCAGTGACAGAACCAGTAGCAACAGCAGATACTAACTCTTGACTATTACAATGCAATAATTTATGGACTATTTCTCCCACAAATCTCACTCGTCTACTGCTCATAGTTGCAGTATAAACCACTATTAGCATTAAACAGACCCAAATGTGCTTGAGTAGACATCTACAAAAGGGATTGACTAGCTGCCATAACAGACAGGCATACTTGGATACAAGTGGCCAGAAATAAAGAGAATTTCCACAGTTACTTATAGTCAGAGAAATCACAATGATCTTATCCAATCATTAATTTGGGAATTATGAGTCTTCAGAAAATTCAAATAGGAAAGCCATGAAATTATCACTAGTCCTTCTAGTCTTTCTCATTGTATGAACTGACATTTCCCTAGTAATCATACCTTCATTCTATGCACGTTTTCTACTTAATTGACACTTCACTAGTAATCTATGAACTGACATTTAAGAGTGAAAGATTAATTATGGACCAGACTCAAATAACCATTTGATCTCTCTTGTCTAATTCTAAAGGTCTACTTGTTTTTTACCTATCGAAAATGCTCCTAACATCAGCATGCTTCTTCTGGGTGACTTGGACAATGTACTTTGATATTTCAAGATTCTTGATGATTTCCTGTTGACTCATTCTTGGAATTTCACCCTCTCCTCCAAACTCTTCATATTATAAAATTTAGGTAAACTACACTAAAAAGTCAAAATTGAAGATGTAGTGTTTGTGAATGAAAAATCTATATAAATTAAGATTTGGTAACACAAAAAGTTAGACAGATTCAAATTCTTGTGGACACATTATTAGAACATATTCAATTAATCAGATTTAGACAAAATAAAAACCTCTTTTTATTGAAGATTATTAAGACGCAATATCTCTACTGAGTGGATAACAACTTAAAATTTAATTTACTTATAATTTATCAAGAAAAAAAATTATACAGCATTCAAAACATATATCAAATATCAATCTGCAAAGTTTCAACATTTTAGCATTTATAGTTAATAGAAATTTTATACCCTCTACACATTAAAACAGAGTCAAGTATTTTTCTCTTAATTTTTGACAGTATATCAACCCCTTATGGGTCATTTAATGCTGATATTTAATTTTCTTAGGAGCTTTGAAGTAATAAAAATATGCTATATGTTATTCTGCTTTCACAATTGAATACATGGTAGATGATACTCAGCTTTTTGCATATACATGTTTGTGTGGACACAATTATGAAAGGCAGTGATATATGTTTTATGTTGTAGTTTTGTTGAAGTTATCTTTTGAAATACAGTTTGAGTAAATATAGGATATTATATGGACTAATGCCATGAAAGAGTTCTTTCATGTTGGTTGTTTGGTTGGTTGATTTTGTTTGGCAGTATATCAACACCTCTATGGGTCATTTAATACTGAAATCTAAATATTTTGTACATAATTTTATACTTTCAGGGTAAAGGTGTTTTTAGATGTATAAGTTGTAGATCATAAAATATATTGTTGGTAATTTTACTATAAAAATGTATTTTTATATTTCTTTTAGTATTGTATTGATTGTTATTTTACTATAAATATGTATTGTTGGCCATTTTATTAGAAAAATGTACTGTTGATTTTTGTTTGGGGGTTCACTATTTGCCTATAGCTGAAACCCTAACAGGTGCTACCACCCCAGGTCAAGGTGAACCTGGGAACTCCCAATCAGAGGCTTTACTGCTAGGTGTAGTTTATCATGATACCCAGGATGATTTTTCTCTTAAATATTCACATGTATTCTTGTGTCCACTATTACATCTGTGCACCATGTATAAATAAAAGGATATTGTATCAAGTAGTCAGTCAGAGTAACAGTCTAAATCAAAGTAGTAAAAGGAGTCATTAAGAAATTTCCCAGTGTCTAGTTTGCTTCCTGTCATACAAAAAAAAAAACTCTTCATAAGAAGAAACTAGACTAAAAAAACACTTGTAAAACATCTCAGCAAATCCTGGAATCTAAACAGTTGGATTTGCACTTTAAATTCTGCTTTTTTTCTTTTTCTTTTTTTTTCTTTGTGGACAAGTTGGATATTTTTACAAGGAAAAATTTTCACCTGCTGAACCTTCAGCAAAGGCTGAAGATTTATTCAAGCTATGTTCTATTTATTTAACAATGGGAAATTTTCATTCATATCTTTAATCCATGAAGACATTTACTATGGGTGGGTTCAAGTAACTCACAACTTTTGCATGAAACACAGAAAAGAACCTGGCATCATACGAGCATTGGATTCTGAGAAATGGGATATAAAATATTAAAGATTGATGGGTGCATAAATAATTCTATCACTGATTATATATATATATATATATATATATATATATTGGGCTCCTCGAGGCGGCGTAATGTTTAGCAAGCTTGGCTCGCTAGAACAATTACGACTGAGTAGTGAGTTCGATCCTCACTGGGTGCCCCCTAATTTCGGCCTTGTGCCACATCTAAGCTACGCTTGGAAAATCACTATATATATATATATATATATATATATATATATACTTTAAGGGGTTAATGTGCATTGTAATATAGTATTCTTCTGAGGAGTAGTGGCAAACTTGAGGGCCGCCCTGGGTAGCAAAGACACTAGCTTCGCCACTGTCAGTATCTAGTGTCTTACTGTGTCAATGTTAATGGAAAAATTTACACAATACCTCGGAATGGCCACAGATACTACTCTAAAAATTACATTGTCAAATTAATAAAAAGTAAATAGATTTTTTTTTTTATAACTAGGTGACTCACTTTTATATACAATACTGGCCATCAATATCCGCAGTTGCTAAGAGTTAAAATTAGTAAAATGAATTTTAAGCAAATTTCTAGTTTATATTAGATCAGTAATTACCCTGTAAGTGTTATATTTTATTTCATATAACATTTGATCTTGGGTTTTCATTTTTAGTCATTGTGTGCATTTTTGTCCTAATTAGCTCTGATGAGAGAGAACTGATAAACTAGTTTAGCTCTTTTTTGTTAATCATATTGTATTTTGATATTACCATTTTATGGTAATGTTTTTTTTCTTACCCCCAATTTTTTTTATTAGAAATTTTATGCAAAAAGATAAATTTCAGATAACTTTCTAAAAGTTCACTTGAACAATGCAAACAAAAGATAGACACAAAGACAGACAGACAAAATAAGAGAGGGAGAGATATTACTCTTTGATAATGCAGTCATTTAGAAAATGCAGTTTAGATTGTATTGCAAAGATTTATTACATGGCTTACTTTATGTTTAATTTAGTGTAATGTTAAATGAATGAGACCAAATAGAATTATCCTAGTTAATGATTTGTTAACGTATTTGTAACGTTTGAGAGGTGAGTTGCACCATTTATCCAACTAATATATTTGTATTATACTATCAAACTGTGTATGTGAGCATGTGTATACATACATACATACATACATGAAAACACACATACACACATATATATTAGCAGAGAAACAAAATTTTATTACTGCAATAACAAAGGACATGTTAAATGCAGAAAATTTATTATATTTATCAAATGTAGTTTTTGTTGTTGGAATTAATTAACCTGAAAGTGTTAGATTTTATTTCATATAACATTTAGTCTTGTGTTTTTCATTTTTAATCATCATTCACATTTTTGTCCTTGATTTAGCACTGATGAGAGAGGACTGATAAACCAGTTTAGCTCTTTTTTGTTATTCATGTATTTTTATTTTACCATTTTATAGTAATAGTTTTTTTGTTACTTACTTTTTAGTTATAAATTTTCTTCTTGTTTCAATTAGTTTTCTTCTAGTATCCATTTATATTGCTTAACTTATATTAAACTTTTAAGGTTTTAATGAAAATAATTCTTTACAAGACATGAGATTCAGAGAAGGTTTATGGACATATCACATTGAAACACCATTCCCCATACCATCACTGAAGTTAAGCAATATCGAGCCTAGTCAGTACCTAGATGGTTGACCGCTTGGGAATACCAGGTGCTGTTAGCTTAAATGGATAATGGCTAGCAATTGTTAATGGAAGATGCAAAAGTTCCAATTCCCATTGGGTTTGTTTTATTCACTTATGCACAAATACCCTTGGGAAAGGTATGAATATGCCTCTTCTATCCCAGATATGGGTTAATTAGTAAAACTCATATTATTAAACATATATTTATCTCAAAAAAATTCTCACAAACTAAAAAAAATATTTTTTGGCTTTAAATAACCTACAATGGTGTTGTAACCTAGGGAAGGTTACTGAATAGAATAATCGCACGAAGGTTGTTAATGAACGATAATACTTAGAACAAGAACAACACATATAAGATTCGCCAGTGGCGTGTAGAAGAAGTAGTCAACTGCTAGAAGTGAGTTAAGTAAATTCCACAATGAATCTCAAGCTGCACACCAACATACAATATTTATTACTGTATTTATGTGAATGAGGACATACCTATTATCGTCCGTAGGTAATGCTACAACAAATGGGTTGATAAATCATAGAAAACAAATCAATTCTGAGAAAGAATTTTAAATATTTTTATTGTCATAAAACCGTAAATTAAAATTGTGAGAAATTTAACAACCCCCAAAATTGAGTTGTGGCTGATGAAGAAAGATGAGACAATTGAACAATTTGAAAGCATACATTATACAACACAATGAGAATAGAGAATTGCTAAAAACATATTCCTTTAGCAGTTAAAAGTCATGGTATACATTTTTCTATCTGTTTAAAACTAATTGAAACACTTATTTGATGCTGCTCATATTCCTTTTTTGATTGCTGCTTGTCTATGCATCATTCAGGTTTTCTCCTGGCCAGCATTGCCTGTTCTTGGAGTAGGCTAAAAACACACCCTTCCCTCCATGGTCTGAAAGCCTCCCAGCTTTGGTGCCTAATTTTGAGTCTTACCCATTACTATCAGATAAATGGACCCATTTTTCTATCATTAGGTGTTATCAACAAAGGGAAGATAACCTATATTTTTTATATTGTTTTTATATGACTTAAATATTCAATCTTGTGAATTTGAACTTAAATTATTTTCTTTTTTAATTTCAGAAATGAGTACGGTCCTTATTTTGAAGAATGTTCTAAGATAATGCAAAATGATGTGCTGTCCTGAAGAAGCAGGATTCTGAAAATTTTCATTTGAGAAAAAGAACCATTTAAATTTCCATCAATATGCTGGTTAACATGTGCCACCCAAGTCTGCAGCCAGGCATCAAATGTAATAAGCCTAGTTATGATGGCTATGAAGTAGAAAACCTGATCAAAGCAACATCCATTTCAGGGAACACTGGTTTCATGGTAGAACGTTTCATTAAAGCTCCTGTCAATGTTACATTGCAATTTCCTTGTAATATTCATATTTTTAAGATTTGCATCAATCCTTTTGTGGGGAGCCAAAAATCTCTTGGCTTTGAGATTTTCACTAATTCGGAAGACATTAAATCCTCATGGCTCACTAATTCTACTTCTTGTACCATTCCAGTAAACACTGATGGATGTTTTGTTTCTGTTGGAAGAACTTTCCTGGCCGAAGCAGCAAATATATGCTTTCGTAATTACAAGTTTGACTTCAGAGAAACATCACTGAGTGATATTCCAAGTCTTATTGCATGCAAACAAGAAAGACCATTGACACACCACCTCAGCAAATCCCTGCAGAATGTTAGCCATATCATGGTGAGGATAACGCGTACTGCTGGAAGTAGCGTTCCTTGTATTGGAAAACTTGAAGTGTGGGCAACACCTGCCAAAAATGTGCCCAAAGAACATAAACAAAAACTTCATTCACTCTTCACTGACTCCCAAGATATTACAAAAGAATCAGATGATATTCAGCTTGAAGAAAGCCAACCAATTTCCAAAAATGATGCCATTACAGAAAGCCTTAACCATAAATCTGTTACTTCTGCAGACAGTGTTGATATACCTGAAGAGTTCATTGACCCTTTGACCTGTGAAATAATGTCAGTCCCCATGTTATTACCCTCTGGTCAGTCTATTAACCAGTCCACTCTGGAAAATTTTATTGATGCTGAAGCAAATTGGGGTCGAGCACCAAGCAATCCATTTACTGGAATCAGATTCAGCAAAACCTACAAAGCCATACCAAACACTCCTCTGAAAGTCAGAATTGATAAATTTCTTATGGAACACAGCCCTCACTTTCCAAATGTTTCAAGAACCGTTGGACGGGCATCTGATTACCATAATCAGCACATCTCAGTGACTGCTTCAAAATGGGTGGAACTCTCACGTGATACCCTCAATGGATCACCATCTGCAATGAATGAAAATTCCAGTCAATCAGATTACAGATTTACTGAATCGATTTGTCAGAAAAACAACAGTGCAAATAAGGACGAAGATAACAAAAGTGTTTCTTCATCTAATTCTCAATCAAATAATTTTGTGAATCAAATAAAAACTAAAGTGAGTTCATCTTCCTCGCTGCATGTTTCTTCCAAAAGAAACTTAGTTTCTATGACTGACCAACAACCTCCTGGCAAAAAACAATGTTATACAATCTGTGATTCTTCCTCAAATGCTTCCAACCATGAGAATAGTGTGACTCAGAGTCTCAACAGTGCATTGTCAATGGCACTAAGCAACTTACCCAGTTTCTTGAGTCCCCAAAATAAACCTGAAGACAAGAAGGAAGAAGAAATAATTCATGGCAAATGTGTCAACTGCCCCTTTTCTGAGCAGACACCACTTTATACTTTGCCCTGTAAACACACAATGTGCTTCCAATGTCTAAAAAATTTAAAGTGTAACATACAGACAACATCACAACAATACATCTGTTCCCAGTGTGGCAAATCTCTCTTAGCCAAAGATATTTGTCGTTTATATATATAATTTATATTTTATTTTTTTGTAACTCAAATAAAATCTATTTTCATTTATTTTTGTTGTCTTTTTTTTTAATAGCAATTTCAAACAATGAGTTTTGCTTTAGTTTCATTCTTGTGGTGGATACTAAATAATTAATAATTCATAAACTTATTTTTTTTATTTTATTTTTTAATCACCCTCAAGAAAGGTGATAATGCCAATAAAATACAAGGGATTAGTAGGAGTGAAAGAGAATGAGAAGACTTTAGTAAGGAGAAAGGACAAGAAAGGAACAGGTTTCAGGATGGTAGAAGATGGCAATTGGTATTGCATTTAAATTTTTTGTAGATTGTAGATGGCAGGAAAGCAAGAATCCAGAAGAGTTCCACAAGAGAGTAGTGTGAGAAAAGAAACTATCAGAATAGAAATTATGGTGACATCTACCTATTTCAACAGTAAAACGAGACCTTGTTGCCAATCTAGTACTATGCTTAAATTTATACAGTCAATGTACCAAGGAGGAGATCTCATTAGAACAAAGGCTGTGATAATATAGAAAAGACAGAGGGAAGCCACATCATGGCAGTGGTAAAGTGACTGAAGTCAAGATGCCAGGTCAGGACCAATAACATTACAGACCCTTTGGATTTTATTGAGAATCTTGAGATATATAGCAAGCGCACCAAACAAGATATGGCAGCAATATTGTTACAAGATGAAAAATTTTTTCAATAGCTTCAAAAAGCAATTTAATGTTTTTCATTACAAAAAAAATATTCAATATCTGTTCATCAAGGCTAATATCTGGTTCGTAACAGGGACAAGCTTCAATCTTAGGGTGCAAGGGGATTCTTTTTATCAAGTAAGGAATAGACTCTACTACTTTTGACAGTGCATCTTCTGTATTGTTAGATAAAAAATAATGAGATACCAAAGACTTTCAGTCAAATGAGGATATTGTTACCATTAACTTTGTGCAAAACAAGGATCTATGTACTGATATACCAATGTTGTTACAGCAGTTGCTACTGATTGTTGCCTGCTTTGTTTTGACAGTGAAGGCATTTCCTGCTAATCCCCTTTAGAGTTGATGTTGCAGCTGAGATCAAATGAGAGAAAAGAAATGCCAATGAAAATTTGCTGTTGTATCAAAACAATAAACATCTAACAATTTGAATAGAATTTGATAATAATAATTATAACAAGTGAAAGAGAAAAGATGTTAGAAGAGTTAAAGAGATTTCATAAAAGGTCTATTGCAATAAAGTTTGAGAAAACAAATGTCCACATTTTTATGTATTTTGTTTCTGCAGCACGAGTAGTAGTAGTCAACTTTCTTCCACTAGAGCAGCATGGCAATCAATAGTCACTACTCACTAGCACATCTGATTAGACCAAGTGTCCATCTTTTATAACCAACCAGGAGTGAACCACCACTCCCCTGGCCAATCCAAAATAATTTGGGTTTTTCATAAATGTACACAAACATTTCACTAAATAAAACATTACAATAAATATTATAATTCACAACACCCTCCAGACTTTACTTGGCTACCCAGTCCCCAAACCTGGATGGTGACTTCCAAATTTGGCCCAACTGCTGTACCTCAGACATACATAAGCGTTTGGCATTTCAGTGTACTCTGGAGAAATCATTGCATCATTTGTTAGAGAGTGAACACTCCAGACGTTTCACGGGTTTCTGGAACCTTGGGCAGTTCAGGTACCTCTACCACTGGCACATTGGGCACAACTTCCACCATGATGGGGTGGGGTGGGGGCAAACTCACTAGTTGATCCACATATCACTTCACCAAGCCACCTTCACAACACATGTATTTACAGATTTGTGAGTGTGTGCATAACATGTAAGTGTGAAGATATTGTATGTGTGTGTGAGTGTATGTGTATATATTTATGGAAAGAAACAATTAAGGGGTCACTGAAGTCAGTCAATAAAACTATACTGACTCCAGTTGAATTTACACTTTATGTAAAATGTCTTCCATTATAGAATTTTTATTTTTATTGTTATTTCTTCTAATGTATATTTACTATTTTCTATAAAGAAATTCATCTCAACTATTTTCTATAAAGAAATTCATCTCAACTTCTTTTTTAAAGCCATTTTATTTTTTTGTAGTTATTTTCTATTTATAAAACTATATATGTAAAAAAATCTTAGATTATAGAATTTTTTATTTTTGTTGTCTTTTATATCCTGTAAAAGATTATATTTTAACTTTTGTTATAAAGTACTTTTATTTTTGTTCTGTATTTCTTATTTGCAAAGACTTATATATGTAAAAAGTCTTACATTATAGCATTTTTATTTTTATTGTTATTTCTTCTATATACTTTCAAAGATTTTGTCTCTAATTCTGTTAGAAAATATTGAAGAATGAATAGGTATGATATAAAAGCCATAAAACTTTATTCTTTGATATAAAGCAGTTATAATGATATAGGCCTGCTCAAGTAAGGAGTGTATGCATAGCCTTAAATGAAATTTGTAGGCTTAATTACATAAAGAGGAGTTGGAGGTACCAAAAATAGAGGAGTCAGGGTCAAAGGTTTTGTATTCCAACTTCACAGCCCTGAAAAGAAAGAACTCACTTAGGAGGTTTCTTTTTCTGCAGTCGACATAGTTGGTGTTTGGAGCAAAACGTTTATCCTACTTGTGTTCCTCTGAATGAGTGTGTAGACACACTGTTTGGCATTTTGTATTTGTGTGTGCTCACTCTGAGTTCTGCAAATGACTTTGTGTGTTCCTATATAGGCTGGAGATAGGCTCCAAATAAAAGCCAAAATATAATGTTTTTTGGTCATGCTCCCATTGGTTAGGAAGGGTCACATTGTGTGCTTACTGCTCCATCCATATCGTGACAACTGCAAGTCTGCTTTTTTTGTGTCTATTTTTGTAAACTTGATGAAACTGAGAATTTAAAAATGTATTTTTATTTATTTTTGTGTATTTTCAAAGTCCCAACCCCAACAAGAATTATACAGCCTAAAATATAAGTTGGATAATGTTTATATGAGCGACCTTATACTAGCCATTTGCTTCTCCTAACTGCTGATTTGTCTTATTACACAAGCAGTTTTGCAATAGTGAAATTTACACAATGTCCACAAATGATTAAATAGCAAATGGTCAAGTCTTAGGGTTCAGAAGGTTGTTTTTTTTCCTGATGAACTAGTTAAATAAATAAAAATACAAAATGCACAAATTACTTAGCATTTTTTTCATCATATTTATCACAGTTTTCAAATCCACATTTCTATGTAGTTATTAGTAAGCGATACAGATCAGAAATAATCTGTAAACAGTAACACATTATTTACATTATTCGGACTATTGTCCTCATCTTTGTCGCCATATTTATTACAACATATCGGCCGTTGTACGCTCATGCCATCTTCAGATGGTTGGAATGTCAAACTGAACCTTTTCTTTCACTCGCTGGGGTAGATTGCTCTAGTGGATTTCAATGGATGTCTGAAAGTTCTCCACTGCCTTAACCGGGTATTGAACTCAAACTCTTTGGGTCCTGTCACTGAATCTAACTAACGCCTTTATCCACTGTCCTTGAGGACATCTGTGTATGAATTTCTGGGTATTATAAACCTAATATCTTCAGCAACCTTTTTTACCAGTGCTCATATTGCAATTTTTGCTGTTATCATTGCATGTTTTTACCAGAGCTCATATTGCTTAGTTGGTTGATTTTGTTTAGCAACATATCAACCACTATGGGTTATTTAATGCTGAAATCTAAATAATTTGAACAATTTTATGGTTTCAAATAACTATATTTTGAACACAATTGTATGCCTTCAACTCTAGATAAAATGTATTGCCGGTCATGCATTGTCAGCCTTTTTCATATAAAAATGTATTACTGGTACTTTTACTATTAAAATGTATTTTTGTACTTTCATAGTATGGGGTAGGGGGGGATCACTATTTGCCCATAGCTGAGACCCTAACCCTGGGTCAGGGTAGACCTGGGAGCAGCAGCAATTAAGAGGTGGTTCTATGCTCACCAAAAGCTCCAATCTCCTGATCAGAAGTATTGCTGCCAAATGTAGTTCATCGTCATACCCAGTACTACTAGTATTGTGTTTCGTTACCTTCTCCATTCTTTTTTAAAAGCTAGATTTCTTCAGGATATAGGTAATCATAGCTCTCCACAGATTCCTTTTCTATGATCTGCAAATTGTCATGACTTCTTGGGAATGCTAGTGTAGTGATTTCCCAATACCTTCTCCACAGTTTTGAATTTAGCTTAATCTTTCTCCTATAATAGTTACCACCCAGTTAAAAAACCCAGTTTATACAGCCATTTAACCCATAGTTGGGGGGAAAACAAGATGGCTTCATGCCTTTCTTAAGGACAGTTAGGCAAAAATGAAAGATGAGTTAGGGATTTGAACTTGGTTTACTGATTCTCCATACTAGCTTAAAATCCCACTCGTAGGGCAACTTTTTAGTTTGTATTAATTTTGAACTGGGTTTTCTTTTATCATAATTTTTAGTTACCTTTATAATCATCAGTCAACAAATGTTAGCAATGTAAACATACAATGCAACACTTCTCAGCCTTCCACTGATTGGACAATGATTACCCTGTGTTGCATTTAAAAGGGAAAGATCCCACTGCATGTTCACAAGGGAACAGAGATGAAAAACAAATGCAACATTGAGAAATGAGAGCTCAAACCCTGTTTCTCATGTTATAAAACAGTTTTCTTTTTTATTCATGGCTTTGCTTGTTCATCCAGGTGGGTAGATAGGTAACACAAGGAACAACCTAATACCCCTCCCTCTTCTCATCTATGATATGTGGTTGACAATACAAATATATGGCATTAGCACCACATGATGAGCCAAAGACAAACTCCAGGACAAGCTTGGACTTACAAATGAGGAGTTTCACTCCATCCCGCCTTGGGTGCCCAGTTTGAAATGTCTCAACAATGATGAGCCATCACTCACCTGGCTGGTGTTGTGAATGGCTCTCTGGGTCGGCAAGAAGCTTTACGCAGCGGGGCTGGCAGTTATGCCAGACTGCATACACTTTGGTGACTGGGAGAAGTCCATTGTGCATGCCTTCTTTCACTGTAGTGTCATACAGGCTGATTTTCATCCTGGAAGCCAGCTCTGTTTGTGCCAATGTGGTACCGCCAATGTCAAATGACCAGCAGTACATGCTCTTGTGCTTGCTCAGTATTATGCGAATGGTTGTGTGAACAACGAGACAGAAAGAGTTTCATGGAGGCAAGAAGTTCTCTTCTCAAGTGGTCTCTTTCTTTAAGCATCAGCTTAAAGTTAAGATCAAGGCGGAAAAAGTGTGTCTCTCTTAGTCGAAATCAGTAAATGTTGGGTGAGAGTTTCGCTATTAGTGTGTGTGAGAGGTGCTGACCTGGAGTGGTTGTTGGATGCAACTTAGGAAAGAGGATTTTGGGCCACTCACTGAAATATCAGTCATCTCAGACCCATTTTAAGGTAAGGTAGATTTTTTGTTTTTGACCTACTTTGTCAAAACTAGCTAGAGTATGCAAGTGTATAGGTCCCCTTTTTTGTCCCACATTTATTTTCTACTTCCCGCCTGCCGTTTTAGGTGACAGATATCTTTGTTCTCTGGTGAGATAAAATATTTCCAATATCTGGCCATTTCACCCAGTTAACCAGGATTTCTGCCACGCCTTCACTTTGGTGTGCGTCCTGATACTAACACGTATTTATATTTTTGTACATAGATTTCATTCATTGTATATATTCATTGATTTTGCATGTATACCCTGCCCCATGATTGGTGTAAATAAATTTCATGCTAGGATTTTCTTTGAGTAAATGAGGTATTTTGGTCACCATGGTGTGAGAGTTAAGTGCAAATGTGTTGTTATGGTGAAAGGAAAATTGTAAGTACAAATGGGTCACTGAGAGTGACAGAGTGACTAGCTAGTTATGAGTTAAGACTAGAGAAGACCAGTCCTTTCCCCCCACACCCCACCTCTCTTCACCCTTGTGGCACATTTTTATGAAAATAAATATTAGGATCAAAGTGTAGTATTCGTACACTGCCTTTTCAATCTTCCCAGTGCTTGATCAAGAGATATTTTTTGGCGTGATCCCATTTCCGCAGTCGATCCATCCTGGAAGACATATCGTCTCACTGACTCTGCCCTGTTCTGGGACTTCAGCTTCGTCGAGTGATACTTTTCGGCGTGATCCCATTTCCATAGTTGATCCACCATAGAAGTTGCATCGTCTCACTGACTCTGCCCTGTTTAGGGACTTCAGCTTCGTCGAGCGATACCTTTCGGCGTGATCCCATTTCCACAGTTGATCCACCCTAGAAGTTGCATCATCTCACTGACTCTGCCCTGTTCAGGGACTTCAACTTCGTCAAGCGATACCCTTCGGCACGATCCCATTTCTGCAGTTGATCCGCCTTTGGAAGACGTATTGTCTCACCAACTCAGCCCCGTTTAGGAACTTCAGCTTGGTCAAGACAATTTGCCCTAAGCATTCGATAACGCTTCAACCCAGCAATCAACTAGCTAATGCCACCAATAACACTTCATCCCAGCAATCAATCAGCTTTCCTGAACAAACAAAACCCTACCGACCAACCTACCAACAATTTAAGTACCAATCTAGTCATCCTGGTCCCAACACCAATCCGGGCACTTCTCCTGACTGTACATACTTGTATATAACACACATTTATTTTTGTAAAAATAAAGATCAACATTTGGTTAAAATATAAGCCTCCACCTTTGTCCCCTCATTGTCTTGGCTGTTCACACCTTTCTTCAAAAACAAATAATCTTGTGGGGGTGACATTTATCAGCCCCGCAACAATAGCTAAATTGTTCAGTATAATTTCCCTTTGAATTAAATGAAGGTCTTATTTGATGGCACAATGATTTAGTAATAATGTGCTTGTGCCATGCATCTTGTCCATATATGATTTGTAAAACTTCAGTAAATTATAAACTTTGCAAGGCCATGCTATAAGGCTTTCACTGATTATCAGAATGAAATTCCAACGCTGTGATTTTGAAGCTAAACTTAATCTTTTAAACTCGTTTCCTCAAAAAAACTTTAATGGTCTTTGAAAAAATATTTTCTGTCATAATTTATGTCAAACCTCAACTTACAAATTGAGTGCAATACCACGGTTCCAAAATCAACATGCCCTAAAGTCAATAGTGGTGAAACATGTCAGATCAAACAACAGTTTCTCCTGCAAAAGGGGGCACAGGTTTGAATCCTACTGGAGAACACATTCTCTTTAATAATTTCTAATGTTCAGGCCAATAGACAAAATAAAATATTGTTTAAAAAAGATAAAGGAAGCATCTACTCAAATATGAGTATCACTAAAAATAACGTTTTTAAAGTAATAAAAATATTAGATTAATATTTTATGATGAATTAAAGATTATTAAAATATACAGGAGAATGTGCAAATATTGTATGTAAATACTACATTTTTTTGTGCATTAGAACCAATGATCCGCGGATACCGAGGGACAACACTGTCGTATCGTACACTATGCAGGGCATGTAACCTTTTGACAGCAAAGCTTTCGTTGAGGCAGCACTACGGAAGTACTTCCGGTTTTTCGTCGTGTTCGTCATTGAGTTTTGCAAAGTGATTTTCTTAAAGACGATAACATCATGGGGAAAGGAGTTACTCGAAAAGTCCGAGGCAGTAAGAAATATAGATATGACATTAACCGGCGAAGAAACAATAAAAAGAAAAAGAATCTTCCAAATATTGATTGGTAAGTTAGCAATTAACAAAAAACACTTAAAACCTGCGTATCTTTTTTCGTTTGTTTTCGTGATTATTCCTGCTTTAAAAAAATGCTATCCACGTGGGTCGTAGTTGTGTAAAAATAGAAAAAGTGAATTTGTTTTTTGTTTAAGTGGTTTCATTTGAATATTTTTTTTTTTAAATCCTTTTTTTTTTTTTTCTAAAAAGTTTTTAAATTTTTCAAAGAAAAAAGAATTTAATTAAATTTTTGTTTGTGGGTGGAGGTTCCTTGTGCGTGTCCAAATTTAATCGTGATTTCATTATCTTATTTTGGAATAAAAATGTAGTTAAAAGAAAATTTATGTGGGGAAAATTAAATACTCGGATATAAACCCCCCCGCCCCCCCCAATAGGTAGGTAGTAATTTTCAAATAATGAATGACGATGGTGATAAAAAAAAACAACTTCAAAAATGTTGGTTGGATGAGGAGATGAAACTTTGATTTGAATGTGGTTGACCGTATTTGATTTTATTTATTTACTTTTCTGTCTATTTTTAACTTTTAAAGTTCAATGTCGATGGTCAAGGCTCTCCACAATTTCCTGTCATTTATTGCTTTAAGTAACTTTTTAGCCCTTCACCACCCCTCTTTCTCTTTGTTTTACTGTCCATTCAAAAATCAAAACTCATTTTGGTGTTTTCTCTTACCTTTTTTAACACTCCTATAAGTTCTATGACTTATTGTGTGTGAGTGCTAAATTCTCCTGACACTCTTCATTTATGTGTCCAATAAACTTTTTAGTTGTTTCCGATTGTAAACATTAGCTTTCTAGGAGAGAAAAAATTAAAAGGACGAAAATGACTATCTTGGTTGACTTTTTCTTTTTTAAATGGCTAGCTAGTATGAAGCCTAATTGCTGCCATGATTGAGTACCAGATAGTTAAGCTTAGTAGAGAGCACCCACTGTGGATTGAACTTGTACATTCAGATTGGTTTGCAAGATGAATTTTCTAACCATTATTGTGCCACATAAGTGCTCTCAAACTAATGACCCAAGTGTTCTCTAACCACTGAGCGGAAATAACTTGTATTAATTTAGTTTGTATTAATAAGTATTGAACTTTATACCCTCATCCACCAAAAATTGCTTTTGAGCTAAACATTTGGAGTCACTTTTTAGTTTGTTGAGCTGTCATGTTGCTATACATAAAAAATATGACCCCCCCTGCCCCCAGACAAAAGCATATGCTTTTATTTTAGAAAAAAGGTGTGAATGGGGATGGGTAATCATGCTTTTTATGTATATGCAAACAAGGAGGAAGCTTAACATAGCATCAAGAAGTGGCAGCTGAAATTTCTGGGACACATAATGAGAAAGGAGGGCTTGGGGAATCTGATACTCACAGGGTAGTTAGAGGGAAAGAGAGACAAGAGAAAGCAATGGGTGACATACCTTGTGGGCTTAAGCAAGTAGATGGCAGAACAGGGTCTGGGAGAAGCAGCAAAAGGACAAAACATTAAAAACTACAAGGGATGGAAGAAGTGGAGAGCCATGATCACCTACGTCCTGAAGGTACATGGCACATGAAAGAAAAACATGACAACCCCAAACAATGAGTGTTAAAGAAAACTAATTTAAAAGCACTAATAATAATTGTTTTTCTTTTTTGAAGTATGCCTGTCTCCTAGGATAGGTGACTAGTTAATTCCTGTTGCAAAAACTAACTTGACCTATTTGTGTTTCATTAACAGTAACACTCACAAAACCATGCAACTATGAGTAGACAGTATTTACAGTTTTTGGAATCAAGTGCATGATCAACAGTTGAACAAAGCCTGTACACTCAAGACCTTGTTCAGCTTGGGAATACCAGGTGCTGTAAGCTTGGATGTGCAGTTAGTGTAATTGATAATGGCTCAAAATTGTTAATCTGAATGCCAAGTTACAATTCCAGTTGGGTTCATTATATTCACTTGTGTGTAAATACTCTTGGGAAAGGCATGAATCCACCTTCTCCCCCAGCTATGGGTTAATTAGTAAGACTTGTATCTCTAAAACTATTATTATTGCCAAAAATAAAATTGCATAGAAAATATTTAGATTTTGACATTAAATAATCCATAGAGGTTGATATGCTACTAAACAACCAACCAACTTCAAGCAAGTCCTCGATCACAATGACTTGTGACATTCTGTTAGCACAACATTTGACAGCTTCTGAACAGTTTCGCTCACAAAACTTTTGTCAACCCATGTTATGGTTTTCAGACACTTTTCAATGGTGCCACACACTGGGATAATCTTTCTAAGACAGTTTTATTAAGACAAAGTAATCTCCTTAACAACTAGAGATCTTTGTGAGGTTTAATTCTGGGTCTTCTGGTTGGAAAACTAATGTTCTAACAACTTGGCTAGATACTCACTGAATATCATCTCCAAATGCAACCAGTACATAGGTATATAAAAATTACTGGCTTGGATTGAGGAATTGGAGGACTGATTTTGAATTCCAGTCAAATCCATTACATCACTTACATGCTAATACCCTTGGGAAAGGTATGAAACTGCTTTACCTCATCAGTCCTGTATTGAAAGATACATGATTGCCTAAGTATGTATCATGTATGGCACATAACTGACTAGCCAAAGTACACCAATCTAAGATATTATTAATGACTAGCAGTAGAGCCCAGCGTTGCCCGGGGATGTAACAGTAAGAGATAGATCAAGTATCGACTATCATAAAGACTGAAAAATAAAATTGACAAAGATTATTGTTTAAGGTTGACGGACATGCATGTCTTAATTAGTTTTTTTTTTTTGTTTTGGGTTTTTTTTTTTTTTTTGTTTTGTTTTGTTTTTTTTTTTTTTTTTTTTTAATGAATTGGTCAAACCCAAACAAAAACATTGTTTTCAATTGTTATGAGTCTATCGATTGAATAGAATTTTATTATAAACAATTGTCTTGTAAGTGGAATTTTTAAAGCATTCTGAATGTAAAAATAAAGAAAAAAAGTGTGCAAGACAATAAGAAACACTACCTGCCCCCAAAAAAGTGAAGTTTTGTTGAAATCTGTTGAAAAATGTAGGTAATCCGATCCAATATATAAACGTACAGACACACACACACACACACAATCTGCGTTTTATAATAAGATATTATTTTTTTATATTTAAAATATTTGAATTTTTTTTTTTTTTTTTTTTTTAGAAATTCCAGACAAGTGCAGTATTATTAAAATTACACTAAAAAGAAATTTAGTTAGTAAAAATTCTATAAAAAAGAAAAACTCAATTATAAATTTATATTAATGAATTGCCTTCATTTAATCACCCAACTTTGTCTGCCAGGATGTCCACTGGGTGGCATGGCATGACAATCAGCAGCATAAAAGGAAAGGAGCCACACTTTTATTTTTTTTTTCTTCTGCTCTGTGATGTAGCAGTGACAAGATGGAATTTATTTCGGGAGGCGGGGTCTTTCTCCTCGTAAACAGATTACTTAATTTCTCACAAATCATATGGACATCACATACACATGCTCCACAGCTAAGTACATAGAAGAAAAAAAAGAAAGAAAACATTTAATTGTTATAATTTTTTATTTGTGATCTAAATTGTTCTCAATATAAATGTATATGTAAAATTCTTCCACGTGTTGAAATATTTTGAAGGTTTTCATTCTAAACAGCAATAAGTAATAACTCCTCCCACAACAAATTGATGTCCTGGGTATGACGATAAACTGCATCCAGCAGCAAGGCCTCTGATCAGGAGGTTTTGAGGAGCGTGGAACCGCCTCTTAGTTGCTGTTGTTCCCAAGTCAACCCTGACCCGGAGTGATATCAACCGTTAGGGTCCCAGCTATGGATAAATAGTTTCCCCCCTCCCTTGATCTGGAGTTGGAATACTGGGAAAGTGTAAGAATGGATTTTTTGTAATAATAATACCATCAACACAAATTGCAGTATATAAAGAGCACATTCACAAAACCTGATTTCAAAAAACTAAAATTTCCCCTAATTGGAGCCCCCTGTTTGCTGTGGGTGGCGACCCGTGATGCCTGGGGATGGAGCCATGGTGATTGAGTGACTCCTGATCTGGTATAAAATGACCAGGAGTTTCCACAACGCATCACTTCATGTCCCTACCTGGGATAGACAGACGAATAGAATAGCTCAATCCATTCCAATCGGCTAGTAACATAGTGGCAAGGTCTAATCGGTATGATAGATAATGGGTCCAACAGGGCCACAAAACCTTACATCATACTATACTTGGGTAGATATAGTGGGGGAGTGCAAGTGCTCGTATCCACTCTCATCACCACTATACTGTCTGTGTAGCCTTGGCAGATTAGGGCAAATGGGATTAGTCTCCCCTGATAGTGTCCCTTAAGAAGGAATTCTGAGGTGGGTGGGGAGCACAGTGAATACAAAGATTAAAATTATATGGCTATCTCTTATAAGTGAACCAAGAGATGATATGAGACTTCTGAAAATGAAATAGAAAAAAATCAATTTCCAACTTTCATTGTTGTAGAATCAGTAGAGAGTTATATATCAGAAGCGTCTCCTTTTGTATTGCAAAGGGTTATTTCAGAAATGATCAAACCACAATCTGTTAAAAAAAAATTAAAAAAATAATACTCTTATTAATTCAAGTGATATCCAAAAAAGACGCAGAGAAATTGCTAAAAATAAAGCAAATTGACAGCAATAAAGTCAAGGCCTACCCCCATCAATTTTTTAATTCATCAAAAGGAGTAATAAAATACCCAGAACTGTCACTTTGTTCATCAGAAGAAACTGAAAATGATGACACCCTAAAAAGACAAGGAGTAACAGATGTTAAAAGAATGCAAGTAAAAAGAAATGACACAGTAATAAACACGAACACATACATTTTGACATTCAACAAACTGACTCTACTAAAAGAAATAAAGAAAGGATACACAATAGCCAAGGTAGAGCCACACATTCCTAATCCCCGTAGATGTCATAAATGTCAAAAGTTTGGTCATCTTCAAAATGTTTGTCTGAGAACATCAGTCTGTCCAAGATGTGGGGAACCGGAAACTGAGCATGATGAATCACCTTGTGAAAGGCCTTCTTTATGTTCAAACTGTAAAGAAAAACATCCAGCAGACTCCAAAGAGTGTAACATTTGGAAAAAGGAAATAATTAGAAGAAAATACATACAAAATATCTCATTCCAAGAAGCCAGGAAACAGGTTGAATCTAATTCACTTCAAGCATCATATGGAAATATCACTAAAATATCAAATCAACAAAAAGTCATCCAAGAAAACAATGCATTAAGAAGCCAAGATCTTATAACTCTTATTAACGAATTAAAAAGTTTAATAGAACTACTAAAATGTAGTATGTAACTCATAAATCAAATGCCCATTGACAAAAAAAATCTTGTCCCATCAACCTCGAAAAAAAAAGTCTCTACATGTACAAAACAATTAAATCCAAAAATTCAAAACCAAAGTACAAAAATCCAAGAAATAGAAACCTCTAAATTAGGTACCTCCACGAGATCGCTAAAAAAAAAGTATAGCATGATGAAAAAAAACTCCAAAATTGACGAAGACAAAATTTTATCGTCTAAATGTTTATGTTATTAAGAGGAAAGATCAAAGTATTTTTGGGGTATTTTTTCCCATTTTTTAATCATTCCTAGCACATCCGAAATTTTCATTAAAAATCTTGTTTTTTTTTTTTTTTTTTTTTTTTTTTTTTTTTTTTGAGTCAGCAAATTGACCATTTTTTCCATTTTATAAAAAAAACTGAAATCTAAATTTGAAATTCTTTTTAAATATCAATTATCATTTTTTCAAAACTTGTTTTAAGAAAATCGGAAATTATAATGTTTATTTAAAATATTTTGAACCAAGCTTAACTTAGCTTTTTAAGTCAAAAAGATGTAATTTGAAAATAAAACAAAGCAGGTCATAAACTTTCGTGTCACTTTTCAGGTGATGAATGACGTATTGATGGATTCCGTGAGCTTAATTTGTTCTACAGAAGGAGAAAAGTGAAATAATTCACATTTCAGTGAACAAATTATTTACCTTGTTATTTTTAAAGAAAACTTTCAAAGCTCTATTTTTTTTTTTTTTTTTTTTTTTTTACTTAGCTTTCACCTTTACATTTACAATGGTTTATGGAAAATATATTATAAAGAAATTAAAATAAGACTGTTAAGAGTGAGATTAAATTTCATATTTCATAAAGAAATATTTCATCTAATTATTTTATAGGTACCTTTCTTATGAAATTTTTATCAGAAGTGTACATAAAATACTATAATTTTATGTACATTTATTACATTTTACTGTGTTATTTGTATTTCCATTCATTTTATTATTAATTTTGATATTTCATTTATGGAAAAATGTCATAACTGAGATTAATATAAAAATAAGATCATATAAATTTCATAAGATGATACTGATACTTGTAGGTACCCTTCTCAGTTGAAATTGAAAAATCAAATTAACTTCTCCACACGTGTTTCGCAAAAGTAAAGGCCTTAACAGCGGAGAACAATGCTTAACTCAAATAACACAATTGTATTCTGGTTGATCTTCCGTACTTTATAATTACAGCCTGATTATAAACACAAAATTACATTTCTTAATTACTGCGGATCTTCTGATTAGTCAAAATGATACAATTTACAATGCGCTAAAAAAAAAAAAAATCTATCTCATAAGGAGACTTAGGAAACCTGATGCGGCTTTTAACTAATTTTATAATATTTTAACAACTTAAAATGTAAAAATCTATTATAATTAAAAATAACAAATAATTGTATTAAAAATTCATTTTTTATTGAAAAAATTTTTTGCTTTCAGAAAATATTGTCCATATTCATAAAAATAACTAAAAGCAAATAAAAGCATTTGAAATTAAATAATATCTTTTGTTTTATTGAGTTTTGTATGTTACAACTCAGAGCTGATTTTCAGGTAGGGGCGGTCCAATTAAAAACAAAAAAAAAACGATTTGCATTCCTCAAAGCCTTGTGCTTTTTAACTATTGTAATGACTAAACCCGATACGATCGAATTTCTAGCGTTTTCATAGAATTAGTTATGGGGGAGGTAATAAATATTTAAAAAAATATTTCTGCCATGACTGTAATAAAAAAAAAAAACATATTTATAATAATTTCAATCATCTGTGAATAGTTCCTGAAAGTTTCATTAACATCCGACAATTATTTATATTTTTGCAAGATTTTCCAAATTAATGTGTGTCATACCAAAAAAAAAACGTGCTAAAAATTGTCTGTGTTATTTACTAGTTCCACTGATACAAAGAGAAACAAGGTTTTTTTAATCAAAATTTAGAATGTTCTAAAAAGAAGGAAAAATTTTTAAAAACAATTAAAAAAACTTTGGTCTTTCCTCTTAATAATAACATAAGCATTTAGACGATAAAATTTTGTTTTCGGCAAGGTTGGCATCTTTTTCATCAAGCTATGCTCTTTTTTTAGCGATTTCATGGAGGTACCTACTCTAAATATCCTCAAGAGAATCAAAAGGTACATCAAAAAATAACTCAACTTTTAGTGAAGAATCAAGAGAAATGGACATAGAGGAACAAAACTTTAGCCCATCACAAACAAGGGAATGGTCATCATCTATACAAAGATCATTAAAAGAACCTAATGGAAAAACAAACCCTATATTGTCAACCGCAAACAAAAATGACTCTACATCTACAAAACTATTAAACCCAAAAAATCCAAATGAGAAAAAAAATTCAAGAAATAGAAACATTGAAACATTATCAGGAGAATGAAAAGATACAAAAAAAATAACAAAACGGTTATTGAAGAACCAAGGAAAATGGACATAAAGGAACAAAACTGTATCCCATCACAAACAAGGGAAAGATCATCTAGACAAAGTTCATTAAAAGAACCGAATGATAAAACTAAGGGAGCAAAATCAAACAAGAAAGTAGAAACAAAATATAACAAACAAAATGCTAATAGTCTGTAGAATATAGAAATGATGGACATGTAAAAATTCATAATCATTGATGCAAAATCTTATTCAATGGAATTGTAACTGGGGTCAAAACATTATGAAAGTATAAAAATCGGTTTTAATACCAGAAATACTTTGTAAAAAAATTATTACCAGCAATACATTTTTGAAAAAAAAAATATTACCAGCGATACATATTTGAAAGAAAATTATTATCAGAAATAGATTTTTTGAAGGAAAAATATTACCAGAAATAGATTTAAAAAAAAAAATATTACCAACAATAAAAATTTTGTTGGCATTAAATAACCCATTGAGGTTGATATGCCGTAAAACCAAACCAAATCAAACCAAACCCACTACAAATTGATCAAAAGCAATCTTGTCCACTAAAATAGTGTAGCCACACTTTGCTATGAGCGCTTAGTCTTTTTCTGGATTCTTGCTTATAATATTTCCAAATTATCAAAAAATGCATCAACCTTAAAATATTGATTATTTAGATGTCTACTTTATATAATTAAACAAAAATAGACTGGAGGGAGAGCTATGTTAAAATTTTTTTTTAAATTTCAGTGGAAATCAGTTAACTAACTTTTTTTTTTTTTTTTTTTTTAGTAACTGTTTTCATTATATTCCCAAAAAGAAAAAGGCTTTTTTAAGTTTCTCTTAATTCTGTATTTGCAGTCCTCAAATCAAGAAAGCCTGGGACATGAAAAAGTCATTAAGATCCAATCTTGAAGACATGGGACTTTGTTTTGATCCAAACAAAACTTTGCCCATTCCAAAAACAAAGGTAAATATTTTTTTAATTTCTGTAAAAATATCACAGCTTTATTTATCTCTTATTTTTTCCATTTATTTATTTTTGTTTTAAGCAACAAACTGAACAAAAAACGCTTCAAATGTAAAAAAATTCCAAGGAAATTGAGTTGTTTATTTATTTGTAATTGAGTTGTTTATTTATTTGTATTCTTGTTTTTGTTGTTACCAAGTGTGTGTGTATAACATATACAAATATAAGTAAAAAATGGTCACTTAGTTTACATAGCCATAAATCTTTATTTATTCAGAAATGATACTTTTGCAAATTTGAAATTGTTGTCTTGTTTGTTTTTCCTTCATTGAAGTCCTTTTATTTTCTTGGTTTGAATAACAAGACATTTATAAGGGGATACTGAAAGGTTCTCAGCCTAACCGTAAAAAGATTTTTGGGGTGAATAGAAGGAAGAACATCAAATCACTTATCCTGAGTATTTTGAATGGTGCAAACAAAAAAAAAAAAACACAAGACTCTTACTCAGGTTGGAAATTTGAAAGAAATTTATATTTATTAAATGACATAACACAGAATATGAAACTTACAAAAGAAGATTGCATAAAATTTTCCTTTGTGAACCAAATACTTAAGCATGATAATGATTCTAAATAAAATTATTTTGGTCACTTAAAAAACAATTATCAACAAAATATTCACTTATATCCATACAAAAAAAGAGTTGATAAGGAAGACTTTTTCACAGACGTTGGGTTTCTAGTTTTTTCTTTTTAGACAACAGTTTAGTTTTACTGACTTGAAATTCAACAATAAGATAAATCTCAAATTTTCATAAGTTTGAAATCGGGGTTAATACCTTTAATATTTTGACAAGCTTTCATGAACAGCTATAAAAAGATAATTGTTTGGTTAAAAGTAATTTAGACATATTATGTCTGTTTATTTTAGTTTTAATCCTTTCAAATCCACAAATTAATTTCTTGGTGGCTGTAGAAAACTGATCAAGAAAAATTCCAAAATTTTCTTTTAAATATTTTTTTATTTTCCCCAAGTACTTTCAATCTCATCTGAGACCATCTTCAGGTATTGCATGTCTATGGATGTGTTATGCATTAACACTGTAAATTCAAAACTTTTTTTTAAGATTTAAAAAAAAATTCTAGAAGCCCTTTATATAAAAGAATTGCAGCCAAAAATAGTCAACTCTGAGTATAGCAATAAAGTTAAATGTTCGTAGCAGAAAGTGTTATATAAAAAATACTAAATTAAAATACTATAATTAAATCTTTAAAAAAAAATTTTTTAAATCTTTTTATATATGAATCTTTATATAAACCGTTAGTCTTCATTTTTTTTTTTTTTTTTTTTTTTTTTAGTGGTGTCAGACTTGGATCAAAATTTTATTCAAGCCATTTTTACCATCTTGTTTCATATTGGCATTTTTATTTAAAGAAACCATTACTAACATTCTTTTAATAAATGCTTTTCAAAACTCTCCCATCAAAAGAAAGTTTAATAAATAAACATAGTTTGTTTATTATATAAATCTTTATATCTTGTGAGGTAATGACTTCTTTTTCTTTTTCAACCAAATGCACTGCATTCTACCATCTCTTTGAGTATTTAATTTCCATAAACCTTTTCACTGTTATTTTCTTTTTAACATCATTTAATTATAACTTGTGAATATTTCAGTACTTAAACTTTCTAGCATTATATTAATGTTATAAAAATAATCTGCTTTTCTATCCAAATTAAACTGTAAATTCTCAATAAATCTGCAGCCTTTCATCTATCCGTAGAAAAAAAATGCATCCATTTTGATAATCTTTTGAATTTGTGATACCTTATTTTTGTTGCTATAAAAAATGACTTTTCCTTTTTTATTTGATTGCTTTCCATTCATTTTATTTATTTATTTTTATTTGAAGGATATTTTAAAATGTGGAACATTAGAAAACTATGAAAAGATGGAAGTTGATATAGAAAAAAAAAGTAAGAAAAAGGGCAAAAAACATCACGTTGTCAAAGGTGAGTTGATTTAAATTGACTTTTTTTCTAATTACAAATTACTTCCAGCTTTTTTTTTTTTTCCCCTGAAGACTCTTAAGCATTTCTATTGATAAAAGGTCACTAACATTCCAAGATTTATTCAATTTGAAGCGAATCTGTGTGTTGCTTTTGAGATTACTGCCCTGTTGCAACTGGTTCATCTAAACAATTTTCATCAGGTATGTAATTTCTAAGAAAAGAAAGCATTTTTTTTTGGGGGGGGGGTAGTTAACAGCAATGTGGCAATGGACCAATCAGTTTAGAATATATTGGTTAAAATATTGTCACAAGATAATTTCTTGAGTTGGCCAAACAAATTTTAGGAAAGATTGCTCATCTTCCAAGGCATCACTCTGAATACACTGTAAAAAAAAAAAAAAAAATTTTTTTTTTTTATGTAATTGAAGGTGGAATATAAACTTAGGTACAATACAAAAGGAATGAAGAGAAATAGGTGGGAAAGGAAGATTGTATTACACAAACCTTCCAATTGCAGAAGGTCTCTGTCTATATTTCTGAGATGAGGTATTATGTACACTATTTACATTATTCGGACTATTGTCCTCATCTTTGTCGCCATATTATGTTTTGTTCCTCAAGGACACCTGGCACAGTGGATAAAGGCGTTGATTAGATCCAGTGACTTGACCCAAAGAGTGTGACTTCAATATCCGGTTAAGGCATTGGAGAACTTGTAGAGGGGAATTAACAGGAGATAACTGATAACTGACATTCATTAAACATGGAACTAGAACAGTCTACACCAGCGAGCGAAATAAAGGGTTCAGTTCGACATTCCAACCACCTGAAGAAGGCCGGAGGGTACAACGGCCAAAACATTGTAATAATAAATATGGCGACAAAGATGAGGACAATAATCCGAATAATGTAAACAGTGCAGAAGGTCTGCTTTTCAAGAAAATCAACATTTTAAATCCACACTTTTATCTGGGCAGCAGAATGAAATATCTACCTTGATATTTACAAAATCAAAATTGCGAATGTGTGGCAAACAGGTATTCAGGTTTTAACATTCTTTTATAGTAAATATTTTATTTTCAAAGTGTTAGGGGAGGCTAATTTCTTTTCTCTATAAAGGACTATATCTCAAAATACAACCGAGTTACTTCCCTTGTTTGCAAGTCAAGCGCGGCACTTCTGAATTGAACATGGTGAGACGCTGATACGCACGTGGAATTCATGGTTTCAATCCAAACAAATCCTTGCTGTTCTCAGACAGTACATGAATAAAAGTTGTTTTATTATATGTTAAAATACATTTGTCTTTATTTCCATTCGTTTTTTGTTCATCCCAACAACCTGGGATATAACACAAAGGAATAAAGTTCTTCGTACCAAACGGAAAGGAAATTTAAGTTTTTTTCTTAAATTAAATTTTTAGAGATCAATAACTTAGGCACAATCAATCAAAAGACTTGAAATTCAAGTTTGTTTTATAACAACATAAAAGTTTTTATCAATGACTTCATTGAGGAAGCATCTTTACTACAGTTTTGGTTGCTGGGTCCTTCAGAGAATCTAAATAGAATCATTTATTTTGTTTCATGGTGGTAGTTATTAGGTATATTGTTTGCTGTTTCTTAGGCATTCTGAATTTATAATTACCAATTGCATTTTCTCTTAAGCTAGGGTTATTGTCTATCTCAAGGACTTTGGAATTTTGAAGCTTTAAAATTATTTTGCATATGTTTCTTTCATTTTTCTTCTTGTAGGTCTCTGGTTGTTTGGTGTGATGGGCCTGTAAAATAGTTACTACTAAATTGATCAAAACTCAAGTAGTTATTTTTATTAATTTTTCATCTTGTTGATCAATAAGCAAGTTGGGATTGCTCAGAAATAGCTTCTGATTAGAATTGAACTCTCATCCTATAGAGATGAACAGTATCTCTCTCTTACACCTTTACTAATATGGACATGTATAGACTAAAGATATATATATATGCTCAAATACCATGATCCCCTACACCGATCTCAGAATAATCATTAATGCATTATCAAAGAATGACAGAAACAATAAACCGGCTGCCTAAACAACCAATTATACATCAAACATACTATATAGAAGAAGAGCATCAAAAACTAAAAGCAAGGAAAGATGAAGTAATGTCCAAACTTCATATTAGACATGCTCAAGAGCCACTTCCAATCTGTACAACATAACCAACTATACACAATAAAACACATAGTAACAAATTGTAGTGACATCAGCCAAATCTGTTTAAAATACTATCAAACAACCAATATGAAAGAACACTTTCAGGAGATTAATCCATACAATTTCTTAAAACTTCTTAAATAATTTAAACTGTATTCCAAAATATAACTTCAACAAAACTACAACATAAAACAGAGATATCATCACCTCTAGTAATCATGTCCACACAAACAAGTATATGCCCAATTTTAACTTGTCTAAAACATTGCATTTTCTTTATAAATTATTCTTTCCCTTCATTGTTGCAGTGTTCTGGATATTTTATGTTTCAAATCCATGCTGCTAAACAGATTTCTGAATGGTAAAATAAAAGCAAGAATAAATAAAAAAAAAAAAAAAAAAAAAAACATGGAAGTGCTTTGTCTGACATTCAGATATTATATAGATATTTTCATTTGGAAATTTAAAAAAAATAAAAATGGCTAAAACAAATATTTTGGGTCTCATCTGTGAAAGTTGTGGCATCACACTGTACTATCACTACTTTGCTTAATAGTGCAATTATTAAATTCAACAACACTAATCAAGTAATTTATTGTAATAATTTTCACTGATCATTTATTTGGTTGTGATTTTTGCTGCTTTTGATTTTATTCTTGTTTTCAGCTTTTAAATCCAAGTTTGTGTAAATTTGTAATTTAAGTTTTACAAATAAACTTAATAGATAATTAATAAACGGTATCTTCTTGAAAGTGTAGGTAGTGTCATGATTAGTGGCTTAGGAAGAGAAATTGGTAAGCTGAGTTCACTTTTACACAAATACCATTGGGAAAGGTCTGAATTTCTCCTCTCCCCTAGCTATGGGTTAAATATGTAGGGCAGATTGTGTTTTCTTGCTTTGAGGTGGCAACCAGTCTAAGAGAAGGAAAACTAAATTTAAAACTCTGCCTGAATAGAGATGAGCTATTTATACCTAGACACATCACTGCTTCTGTGACTGCAGCACATTTGGTGCTTCTATGACCCCATGGGTCTGGTGACATGACAATCATCTATGAATAAAATGCAGCTGTACCTTTTTGTTCTTCCAGTTAAGAATATTTACAATCTGTTAGCTAGGTTTTTATTTTTTATTTTTTTTAACACTTTACGCCAACATTTTCTCTTTATAGAACTAGAGGAAGAAGCTAACCAACCAAGTGTCCGGCCACGTTCCATGCCAGAACAAGAAGTCAAATATTGTATATACATGATGAAAAAATATGGTGAAAACTATGAAGTAAGTAAATGATTTAATAATTTTGGTCACACTTAAAAACTCAGTTCATTTTTGTGAAGAAGGAAAAAAAAGAAAAAAAAACTTAATTCTGTGAAAGACTAAATATCTAATAAGAAATTAAAATATTTAAAGTAAAATGTATTAACAAAAAAAAAAAATTATGAATTGTAATTTTTTTGTAGTTAGCATCACTCAGGCCTAAAATGGCTTTATTTTTTTTAGCATGCATATCTTAATTTTAATTTATAAAAAGATTTTTTATTAAATGTGACAAATGCACTTTTTATTTGTAATTAAATTTGTTTTTGCATTTTATTTATATATTCTCATATATATGAAAAGCCTCTTTTCTTTAAGACTTTTTTTTCTTTTATTGCCGATAGGCTATGGCTAAAGACTACAAGAATTATTACCAAGACACACCCAGTCAAATCAAAAAGAAAATCAACAAATTAAAAAACATGCCAGAGCAATACAAAGCATATTTACAATAATAAAAAAAAAATCAGATTTTTCTTTTGTTTTGTTTTTTTGTTTGCTTTCTTCTGCCTTCCATTTTTTTTCTACCAAGCGTCTGAAATTTATCAACTGCATGGTTTTAAACATTTTATAGACTAGCTAATATTTGTCATAAATCAGTTCCAACATTATTAATTCATTATGGCTTATTAATCTGCAAAAGAATTTTAAAGAAAAAGACAAGTTTATCACACTGACACATGTTGAAAACCTTACGGTATCAAGTTATCGCCAACTTTTTTTTTTTTCTTGAGATTTACAAACTCTACTTTTCGTTCAATTGTGCAAACCAATTGATGAAATTTGAGAAAGTTAAATTTTTGAAAAATACTTTGACAAAAATCCTACTTTGGTTTTTACACACCCTAGTAAAAGCAACTGTACCCCCTTACCTCTTTGCACTTGTCCCCAAAATGTGAGTTCGATCCGTCAATGTATGGCTATTTTCTAAATGTTAATCTTTTATCAACAGCTTATTAATACTGTCTTTGTATAAATATTTGTTTGTCTATCTATGTCTAAAATTCTGTGGCTTCTGTTAGTCTATTGTTAACTCATTTTGGTGATTTGATACATTTTGATCATCACCAACTTAGTCAAGGGATGATATTTCTTGAATGTATGGAAAGTCATTAGTATGTATGGTTTCAGTTTGTTTATTTCACATCTGGTTAAATCAAAAAACTTCCCATGTTGGGAACCAAGATTTTGGTAGAAGAGCATCTCATGAGGTATGCATTTAGTAGTTGCATATAAAAATATGGACACACAGAACATTCACTTTCCAAACATGAGATCAGGGTTCAAATCTCACCTTGATGAATTTGTCAGGAAGGTAATTTCTTGATGTTATGGCCTGGGGGTGATCTCGGTGTGCAATACCTTTGGAAAGTACCCGAAGGCCAGATCATGGGTTGACCCAAGCCATGTAATTGAAATTAGACAACGATTATGGAAACAGTCAATGGAATGGTTGTGCTATGACAAAGTCATCACAACCAAAACCTTGTCCAGATTGTTAATCATGCCAGATAATGTGCCCTCTCCTACAAATTGTAATTAAGGTCTATTCAGCATAGTTGCAGTATAAAACAGGTTCTGTAGGTATTGAACAAACAAATGTGTCTGTGCTGGCATCTGCAATAAGGATGGGCTAGCTGACAGACATGCTTAGATATGAACAACCAGTTATTACTATAGAATATAGCAAATTGAATAGAGGAATTCTGGCAGCATATCTTCTTAATGATGTAGACACCAAGTTTATCATTCTCCATGGCATTCTATCTTGCCATTGCCTGACTGATGGTTATAATGCATGGTCCTACTTGTATGTAATCCTTTCTCTTGGAAGAACCTTCTCAGTTTTCTTGATATTAACCTTTAAGCACACTGTATTATTAATATTACTTCTCTTTTCATTGCCTGTCAATTGCAGCATCATTAGTGTTAATTTTACTTAAAGTTGTTTTGTTGCCATAACAGGATATGACAACACAACTATGAAACTCAAATTCAGAGATCAGTCACCTTCGGTGGCAGGATAGACATTTTGTACAGCAAAGGAAGTCACATACATAGTGATAGAGGTGATAAGAGGTTAATAGATCAAGGAGGAGTGTGAACCGTCCAATAGGCAAATCTATAAAATTCCTCATGAGGTCCCATATAAACATACAGGAGTTTTCCTATCCCATGTTTAAAAATTGAAATGGAGAATTTTTTTTTTTTTAAAGCTAATTTATATATGCCTGAGGTGCTTTCGTATAAGGTCAGAGTATAATTAAAACAAATGCCACAGACTATAAATTTGATGTACTTTCACTGAGATTAATATCTTAAACATCAAGAGGAAGAGGAGACTACATTTTAATGTGTTTTTATTTTGAAGATTTGTATTTCATCTCCAAACAATGAATCAAAAGAAAAATATCAAGAATAAGCAACAAGAATTGATTTCAAACAATTTTATTTTGTATTGATGGTTACAGGTTTTTAAGATAAAAATCTGCAATTCTTCAGCCCACAATAGTTTTGGTACTTTTCTTACTGACCAGCAGTAGATTATTAACTTTTCTTTTCCTGGTCACTTTCCAAACAAGAAAAAAAAAAAATCTTAGGTGTTTAATACCAGGGACAGGTTAGAAAGTCTTTTAAAAGGGGGTCAAGAGTGCAGAATTAAATGAGATGATTTTAATGAGCTTGAGAAATGGGTCAGAAAATTCCCCAAAATTCATCTATTAGCTACCTAAGTGAAATAGAAAATAACAGATGTACAATATTACTAGCATCAAATTTTGAAGATTAGTTACAGCTTAGTGTAAATTACAAGATGTTTATGTAACTCGTATCAGACATAAGAATTTCTATTTCATAATGATTACATAAGTTCTGTTAATATTGACGGCATTTGCAATAATATCTAAGCAAACTTTTCCAAAGTTTATACATTTTCTGCTCAAGCAGGTAAAAAGCTTAACAATAGAGAGAGGGGGGTGGGGGTGATAATTTTGTATTTGTTTTAAGCAGTTTAGCATTAAGTCATTGAAAATAAGTTTACTAACAACAGTGCTATTATATACAGAAAGTAATATCTATAACTGATCTTTAATGTTAAGTCAATGTAAAAAGTTACATCTACCAATAACATTGCCATTAAAATCACATCAAATTAATGAAAGTTTAATGTAAAAGTTAAGCTAAAACAAATGACAATGTTTAGTTTAACACAAAAGCTAATTATCAGTATTTGCTTGTATACTCAAATATGCTACTAATTACTCCTGTATAATATGCACTGACTTTGAAATTAAGTAATTAGAAATTATAAACTTTTTATCCAGTTTGTATTAACTAAATTATAAGAATTTTTGTAGTTTACATTGTCAAAACAATGTTCTTTACATAAATGTTGGATGTTAGGATGAACAAGTCCTAGTTTATTTGCAACAAGTGAATTGCAGTGGCTAGGAGTTAGAAATTAATCACTGACGGACGATATTTGTTGACCAAAAGTTTGTTATATGTACATGGCTATTGGGAGCCGAGTAAAGCATCTCTAAAAGAAAAAAAAAAAAAAAATCAAAGTCACAAACACTGAATGATAGGATGTGAATTTTTTTTCTTTTTTATGCAATATTCATTTAGTGATTTTAATGTATTAATTTGTACCATAGATATAATTTTTGGTCAAACTGACCCAAATATGACAATGCTCCTAGCTGGTTATAAAGTGCATCTGAAAATTTTATGTGCAGAGGGTTGTATTATACACAAATAATTACAGTATCTGGTTTTACACTCACTAGATTTTTGCATTTGATATCAGTTACATTTAAGTAAGCAAGAGTATTAAATTATGCAATATTTAATAGGCATATGGGTAAGGGGACAAATCATTTTAACATGCAAATTTGACAATTTAAAGTATTGTGTAGTAAAGTATATATAGTATTGAGACAATTATAAATTTCTCTCCATAATTTGGGCTAGTAATTTTTTTTTTTTTTTTTTTTTTAAGTGGCTTTTTATTACAACTTTGGCTGTTAATCTACAAGGAATACAGTGCAGATCAGAAAATAGATAAGCTGCCAGTGCAAATTGAACTTGCATCCCCTTTTGTTTCAGAAGTTTTATTGAACACCTCAGCTGTTTAAACCAAGTTGGCTATGAGAACTCAATGACTTTGCAGAAGGTTAACTTTTTTTTTATGAAAGTAAAATTCAAAATATTGGTTGACAATGTTTCATGTTTTTTTTTTCCTCCTATTTCTATATGAATTTAAGTTTGTAATTTACTTACAATTGTGACCAATGAGAAGAAATACAGAGACAGAAGACAAAAAAAATAAAAATATCTTGAAAGGATTTAGATTTGTCTTCTGCAGTTGAGCGAATGTACTCACTGAAAGCCTTTAGACATTAAATATCTTTCGTGCCATTACACCCTGCAGATAAAAAGAGGATAAAATTTATAATCATCACATCTTCATTGTATAAGCTTTGATAAAAAAAAGTGTGCAGATGGAGGGAGAGAGAAAGTGCTATTAATTCCAAAAATATATCCCCAATCCAAATAATAGCCATGCAAAATTTTTAAAAAATAAATTTTTAAGAGGAAAAAAAAAAAAAAAATTTTTAAGAGGGAAAAAAAGAATTTTTTTTTTTTTTGCAATATTTAAGGCATACAGAATTTTCATTTATCTTGGAATACCTTCCCCTCCACCATTTTTTTTCCTCACGTCATGGTGCTTCAGAACATAAGTGATAATAGTTCTCCACTTTCCTTTTTAATTGATTTGTGATTACCTTTCTTGGGAAAGGTATTGGAGGGGTGGTTTCTTGCTTTCTACAGTGGTGAGTTATGGGTAATTCTAAACAGGTTAGAACATCAAGACAACCTTACTATTTTACTCTAAGATGGATTCCTGCCTTTTCCAAGACTATTAGTGCAAAGTGAATGCAATAAGCATAGTTGGAATTTAACCCCCACTTGTGTATTCCAGTTAAAGAAAAAAAACAATTAGCATAATGAAAAGCTAAAATTTCTACCTCACTTGAAACATTTTAATCATGAAAGAATTTGAAAATTTTATGCCTTTAAAGTCTGTAAAATTCTGTTATATATGTTACACAGCATAAACATGAGTCACATGATCCAAGTCCTTTCCCAACAACCAGAAATCATGCCAACAAACAAAAGGATGCCACAAAACTTAAATCTGTCTCAGTATACATTGATTTTTTTTTTATGGTTTACCAACCCTTTGTGTTATTTAATGCAGAAACATTTTGTATTGTAATTTGTTTTTTTTTGTGAATTATTTTTCCTGATGTATTACTTCTTATAGCTGTTGGTAAAAAAAAAAATCTCTTGAATGCTAATTGAAATTTGATCTTAGTCACAGCATTTTAGATATTACAAAATATCTATGTGCAGAATATGCAAGTTTTTGGGGGTTTTTTTTATGCCTTTT